GCTAAAGACACCACTCGGTATCCCGCTGATCCGCGAAGATGCTGTGGACCGAACGCCTGACCATGGCCACATCCAGGCCGAGCTCGTCCATGTTCTTATCGCTGAACTGGATCGTCGGCGCGGTGCCCGCGGGCGCGGGCGAGAAGTGCACAATGTCCTTCCACGACGTGCTGACAACCCCCTTCTCCTTGTCCGAGAAGAAGCGCTTTTCGGGGTACAGCTCCAGCAACTTCCTGGCCACCTTCTTGCATCCAAGCTCCCTCGCCACCATCTTCGGGCTCTTGTCGGGGCCGACGTTGATACGAGCTGCAGGGCCGCCCGTCGGCGGAACGGCACTGAACTCACGCCACCCTCCACCACGTCCTGGCATCTTGAGCGCGCCGATGGCCTGGTTGACCTTGCGCGCCGCGTAGCCAGCCTGTCCACGAATCTGAATCTGGAATCGTTTAGCAACTGCGTCCCCTTGCAGCTCATATTCATCAGCCTGCAGGTTCGAGTCGTCGATCCACGCCTGGAGGGCGTTGCCGACGGCCTGCTTGGGCAACGGCACCTGCGTCCTGACCACGATGATCGTGTGATCCACGGGGCGGTCGAACCCGCCTCCTTCGATCTTGGGGGGCGGCTCCTCGCGGCGCATGAGGCCGAGCAGGTTCCGCAGCTCCTCCACCTCCCTCTCCAGCTTGCCGATACGAGTGTCATGTACACGTACTTCCGTCTCCACCTTGACCATCCTCTTCTCCACCGCCTTGTCGATGCTCGCGCAATGCTCCCCCATCGTCGACGAGAGGGCAGTGAGCGAGGCCTGCATCGCCTGGATCGAGCCCATGACGTCAGTGCGGGTCTTGTCCACGTATGCGCGAAGCTCGAGCTCCACAACGTCTCCTCCAACAGCAGCGGCAGGCTGAGCACGGGCATGTCCAGGTAGTCCGTCCGAGCTGGCCCGAGCTGTTGAGCCAGTGTGTCCTTCTGATGCCGATGAAACTTGAGGCGTAAGCCTGGGACCAGGGGTGGCGCCGCCAGTGCCAGCACGGTCGCCATTTCCCTGTCCTGCATAGTCCTGCCGCGTTGGAGTACTTGGGCTGGCAGGTGACTTCGCGCCAGGCAGAGTGGGGTAGAGTTCCTCATCATCAAGGTCTGCGAGACCTGCAGCATGAGCAGCGGCGCAGCGACCATTGGCCCCATGCTCGTGCATCCCCTTGCCGTCCTCCTCGTCGTCGGCTCCGATCCTCTCGAAGCGCATGTCCTTCCTGGGCGGCGCCTCGTCGGAGTAGTTACGTCCCAGCTGCCTTCCGCCACGCTTGTTGCCCCCAGGCGAAGCGGCGGCGCCAGCAGCAGCGGCCGACATGGCTGCAGTGGCAGCGGAAGCTGCGCAGACCAGCCGAGCGCGCAGACGAGGTGGCCGAAAAGCAGACGTGCAAGGCACGTCGTGGTCGGCTGTGACCACAGGAGGCTTGAACCAGCCTGCGGGGACGGGTCCAAAGCTAATCGCTGATTCTCAGGCGTTGATAGCCCTTCACAACGTTTAGCCTTGAGCCAAAATGGCTACGGAACCACTCCTCCCTCCTCTCTCCTCCCTCTTGGAGCCCAGACTTGCGAGGATGTCTCAGGCGAAGCGCGCCGGACCAGCTCGCAAGCGGCACGTCGGAACCCAGAATTGCGAGGATGTCTCGGGCGAAACGCGCTGGACCACCTCGCGCGCGGCGTCTTGGAGCACAAAGCTGCAAGGATGTTTGCGGCGAAACACGCCGGACCACCTCGCGCGCGGCATCTCGGAGCTCAGAGTTGCGAGGATGTCTCCGGCAAAACGCGCCAGACCACGTCTCACGCGGCATGCGAGGACGGACCAGACGTCGCCCAGACCCTTCCCAAAGCACAATTCGACAACAGAAATGTAATCAAATAGTTCGTTTGGGTCTGACCACTCCGCCCAACCCTCTCGGAACCCAGAGTGTCGAGGATGTCTCAGGAAAAACGCGCCGAAGCACCTCTCGCGCGGCATCCTGGAGCCGAGAATCGTGAGGATGTCTCAAGGAAAACGGATCACCTCGCGCACATGTTCTCAGCGCTGAGTGCGAGTTGCAAGGATGTCTGCGGCAGAACGCGCCCGACCACTTCTCGCGCGGCGTCTTGGAGCCAGAGCTGGGAGGATGTCTCAACCGAAACAAGCCAGACCATCTCGAGCGCAGCATCTCGGAGTTCAGATTGCGAGGATGTCTCAAGCGAAAAGCGCTGGACCACCTCTCGAGCCCAGAACTGTGAAGAGGTCTCAAGCGAAGCGCGCCAGATCACCTGGCGCGCGGCAGCTCGGAGCCAAGAGATGCGAGGATGTCTCAGGCGAAACGCGCCCAGCCGCCTCTCGCGCGGCATCTCGGATACCAGAGTTGCGAGGATGCACAAGCGAAACGCGCTGGACTACCTCTCGGGTGTAGAGTTGCGAGGAGATCTCAAGCGAAAAGCGCCGGACCACCTCGCACGCGGCAGCTCGGAGCTCAGACTTACGAGGAGATCTCAAGCGAAACGCGCCAGACCGCCTCGCGCGCAACGTCTCGGAGCCCAGTTGTGAGGATCTCTCGAGCGAAACGCGCTTGACAACCCCGCGCGCGTCAGCTCGGAGCGCAGAAGCGTGGAGATGCTTCAAACGAAACGATCTGGACCACCTCGCGCGCGGCACCTCGGAGCTCAGAGTTGCGATGACGTCTCAGGCGAAACGCGCTGGACCACCTCGCCCGCCGCATCCTGGAGCCCAGAGCTGGGAGGATGTCTCGGGCGAAACACCCAAGCCTGGCCAACTCAGAACCGACAGGTGCGAGGATGTCTCGGGCGCAACGGGCTCGACCACCAAATCTCTGTTAAGGAGGTCTCTGGGCGGGCGTTCTTCGACCTCCCTCCCTCCCTCCCTTCCCCTCCCCTCCCCTCCCCTCCCCTCTCCTCCCCTCGCCTCGCCTCCTCTTCCCCCCCCTCCCCCTCCCCCTCCCCCGCCCCTTCCCCCTCCCCCTCCCTTCCCCTCCCCTCCCCCTCTATCACTACGTGATGGCGTAAATCCTGGAAATTAAATCGTGGAAATCCTCCCCTCCCCCTCCCCCTCTCCCTCCCCCTCCTCCTCTTCGTCCTCGTCCTCGTCCTCCTCCTCCTCCTCCTCTTCCTCCTCCCCCTCCTCCCTCTTCCTCCCTCTCCTCCTCCCTCTCCTCCCTCTCCTCCTCCCTCTCCTCCTCCTCCTCCTCCTCCTCCTCCTCCTCCTCCTCCTCCTCCTCCTCCTCCTCCTCCTCCTCCCGGAAGCTTAACGCGGTATGAAGCACCGCGCACCGCTCGTGCCCCTCTATCGGGCCCGCGCTGGCAGACATAGGGGCCACTTATATAATTAGGACCGCTCGGGGGCCACCTGCATGCAACTGGAGGCCTGACCAGCTGGTGTCGGAGTAGATTTAGGTCGGGCGTGTCCCCTCCCCCTACAGGAGGACTTTGGACGAACAATTAAAAATTGTCAAAGCATTGTCCAAACATGCTCAAACATTGTCAAACAAAATCGTCCACATACTACTTATTGACTACTTTTGAATTTTCATACTGTAGAGGGGCAGGCCCGACTTAAGAGTAGATGGGGTCGGAGGATCGCGCCGCATCGCCGATGCATCGGCGATGCATCGGCGATACATCGGGGATTGCCCGGCGACGCGTCGTAGGCGGTACATCGGCGACGTCGGCATGGAGAGATCGAGCTCCACATCGAGCCGCGTCGCCGCTGCGGCGGCGATGCGGCGCGATCCTGCGACCCCATCTACTCGGACCCCATCCAGGGGGCCTAGAGGAACCATCGATCCCCCCGCTCGGGGCCGGGCCGGCCAAGAGGGGGGCGTCCAAGAGGGGGGGGGGGGGGGCAAATCATGGCCGGCGGCACGTGCGCGGCCCGAGGGGGGAGCAGGGACGCACTGAAATAAGGAGAGGCGCCATGAAATCTGGGGAACTATCATGGCCCACGCCATGAGATCCCCCCCCGCCCAGTCGCCACCGGCCCGCGTGCACTGACCCCACGTCGCCGTCCGCCCGGGGGCTCCGGGGGAGGCCCCGTCGGCAGCGGCGGCCGCGCCGGCGCGCCGCGCGGCGCCCGCCTCGCGGCCGCCAGGGCTGCGCGCGCGCGCTGGACGAGCTCCGCGAAGCCGGGCCAGTCGCGCGCGTCGAGTGAGCAGGGGCCGGCCGTCCCAGCATGCCCATACAGCCAAGGCGCTGAAATAGGGAACAATTTGGATTCGGAAGGGGCTCGATGTTCCTTGGGTTCCTCCTTTGCTGTTCCTCTTGCCCTCCTCGGGCACGGAGGTGCTTTCAGGTGCAAAAAGGCTGTGTTCCCTGCATAGAGTTCCTTCTTTCAGCGGCCCGACTGTAGGCCTAATTACCACGACACGTTCTTAGAACCCCAAAAATGTTCCAAAAACAAAAACATCTTAGAACGTCGACGTAGACCCGATGTGATAAAACAAACCAATATGGGCCAGACAGGTTCTGAGGACATGCCATGCAGGCCACAAAAGGCTCTTAAAACATTCTTTGGTGGGTCTATAGTTAGGTCGGGCCTGTCCCCCTACAGGCCGATTTTGGGACGAAACATTCAAAATAATCCAGACATTCCCCCAAATCTGCAAAACTGGTGAGCAAATCGTCCCCAGATAATTTTCTGCACAAATTTTGAATATCCCCCCCTGTAGAGGGACAGGCCCGACTTGAGTCTAAGGCTATAGGCGGGCCAGGACGCCTCGCCTCTGCCTAAGTCCAGGGCGGCGCCGGAGTGCGCCGCGGCCGCCAGGGCGAGCGCGAGCAGCAGCGCGCGCGAGTAGCACGCCTCTGCAAATAAATACACACACAAATGCAACTGTTCCCAATCTTTTCTGGGTCTTTGTCTTCCCTCCACTTGTTTTTTTCAGTGTGTTATATTTCTGGCTTCTTTTCTCCCCAAATTCCATGAATACGCACTAATACCAAGATTCCCGGTATCTTCTTATACTTTCTGGTGTTTTCTCTTCTCCCCCGCTTCCCATATTCTCCCTAGCATTTTCCTGGGAATCGACGATTCAGTGTGTCTCTGTGTGTCCTTGTCCCCTCCTGAGCCTTGCTGCTGCCGACCCCCACGGCCCGCAGCTCGGCGCCGTCGCGCCGCAGGGCGGTGCCCACGTTGTACCACCTCCGGCGGCGGCACCGCGCCCACGGGAGGCCAGGCGTTGTCGCCACGAGATTTCTCCCGCCAGATATCGTTCAAGAAATCCGCGATGAGCCTCCTCCTCCTCCTTCTCCTCCTCCGAAATCACGACGGGAGACTCTTCCCCCTCGCGCGGTGACGAAATCACGACGGGAGGCTCCTCCCTCAAGTCGGGCCAGTCCCTCTGCAGGCGGAGTATGAAAAAATAGTCCAAAGAATAGTCTGGAGAGGATCTCGAAGATTTTGGGGGTACGTTTTGACTGCTTCTTATTGTTCGTCCGAAAGCGGCCTGTAGGGGGACAGGCCCAACCTGACTCTTCCCCCTGTCTTCGCCGCCTGGGGGCCCCTTGCAGGCCCGCGGGGCCGTCCAAAGACGACTCGGGATGGAAGACCGGCCCCCGGGGAAGGGGTCCAGACCTCTGGGGGTCGACGCCGCGGAAAAGCCATGACGTCGGGGGGCGGCGGGGCTCGGGCCTCCGGCGGGGAGGGGGAGGAGGAGGAGCTCGAGGAGGAGGAGGAGGAGGAGGAGGAGGAGGAGGAGGAGGACCAGGAGAGGGGAGGAGGAGGAGGAGGGAGGAGGAGAGGAGGGAGGAAGGGAGGAGGAGGAGGGGAGGAGGAGGAGGAGGAGGAGGAGGAGGAGGAGGAGGGGGGGGCGTCGGGGGGGGCTCCTCGCTCTGCCCAGCGCTCCAGCCACGGACTCCTCGCGGGCACCCTCCCGGCCGCACGCGCGCTCTCGACCGCGTCCCCGCCGTGGCCCCGGGGCCACCCCCCCGGCGGCCACGAGCAGCGCTGCGCCACACGAGGTCGCTGCGCGGAGCCGCGTCCGCGGGGAGCGAGGCCCGGCTCCCTCCGGCCGGGCTGCAGCTTCCCGCTGGAAACAGAAGGTCAGGGAGGTCCGGGGACACACCAAGAAGCAGGCACAGCTCCCGAGACTCCCCACCTATATTTTCCGATTTTTTTTGGGGGGGTCGTCTTTCTCCCCCCCCACGTCCCATAATTTCCTATCCCTGGGGATCGAAGACCCATGGTGTCTGTGATGATCTTCCCCTCCCGAAAGATGTCCGTGAACCCTGGGTGCCCATCGGCCTCCGGCGGTCGTTGGCGGTCTCCAGCCGGTTTTTCGGCGGGCCCGTGCGCGAAAAACCACGCCGGCGCGTACGAGCGGGCCCGTGGCAGAACACCCCAAAGAACTCCAAGGAACACCGAGCCCCCTTGGGAGCCCCGCTTCGACTCCCTGGCTGTGCGGCCGATGGGCGCAAGGACAATCGCGCAGATATCTGACCATCTGCTTTTCCGATGCACGGCCCCAGGAACTGTCCCCACCCCTTCCCTGGGGTCATGTTTCTCGGCCTGGATCTATGTTTAGGTCTGGCCTGTCCCCCTCTACAGGGGGATTTTGTGCGAAAAAATAATAATACCCAAAAGATACTCCAAAACTGTCAAACATGGCGAAAAATCGTCCCCATAATATTTGTTGACAACTTTAAAAATATTCCTCCTGTGACAGGACCGACTTCAGCCTATGTTTGATGGCCCCGAGGTTTCTGATGTTCCAACCTACTTTAGCCTTGATAGCCAGGAGGAATTTCGAGCACCAGGAAAGTACCGAAATTGGAAGGTCTTCACGTTTCCGGCCCTGGGAGGCGATACTCCTTCGACGCTGCTTCGATCCTTTTCTGGGCGCCCGAACTTATTCCTGGCATGCGGTCCTCCAGTACGATGTAGAACAGCATGACCCGAGGCCCCAAAACAGGCCCCAGAGGCCGACGCCTACAGCACCTCGCCCGGGCAGAGACCACAGATAAATCGCCCGAGCCCCGAGCTGCCCTGCCGCCCCCGGGGGGCGGGCTCCCCAGGGCGCAGGCGCCCGCCGCGGCGGGCAGGCGCCGCGCGCAATGGGCAGACCTTCCACCGCCGGGGCCCCGGGGCTCCGACGCCGTGCTGTTTATGTTTCCACTGCGCGGGGTCCCTGGAGTATCGGGAGCGGCCAAGAGGGGGGTGTCCAAGAGGGGGGGGGTGCAAATCATGACCAGCGGCATGTGCGCGGCCCAAGGGGGGTCCAGGGACGTAACGAAATAAGAAGAGGCGCCATGAGATCTGGGGAAATATCATGGCCCACGCCATGATATCCACCCCCCCTAGTCATCACCCCCCTCCTTTCCCCCCCCGAGAAGAAGTCTCGGCCCACTCCCCAGGACCGGTGTCTCGTCCGGAGTCGTTCCTGGACGGCCCAGGGGCCCCAGCGAGGGCCCCTCGAGGCCGCAGAAGGCGAGCAAAGACCTCCGTCGTGGCTCTGCCAATGCCTTGGCTCCCTGAGGAGGCCCTCGCGCGGGCCGCCCATGGCGCGCACGCGAGTCGGGCGGGAGGCCCGCCTGAACCGGCTGGCCCCGCGAGTGCGGCTCGCCTCGGGCACGAAGCGGGCCGCCAGCGCACCGCTCCGCCTCGATCCGAACTGTCGGGCCGCCGCGCCGGGCTCCGGCGGGCCCCGACCAGGGCCAGCGAGCGGAACCGAAGAACGGATCGAGGCGGAGTCGCGGCCCCAGCCGGCGAATCGAAGCGCATCGAAAGTGGATCGTGCGCGGGCCTGAGGAGGAGGAGGAGGAGGAGGAGGAGGAGGAGGGGGAGGGGAAGCGCCGACTTCGGCGGCGCGCCGAGCATGGCAGCGCGAGGGGGGACGGGCGTCCAACGAGACGGGAGGCTTCTCGGATGCCCCCCTGCCTGCTCTGTCGACGGGGCCCTGTGGGAAGCCTCCGGCACGGCAAGGATCCGACTCCTCCCGAGAAGCCCAGCGCCTCCCCCCTCGCCCCGCACCTCTCTGTTGCGCCAAGTGCGGCTACGAATGGTTTCTGTCGTGTCGACGTGGGCGTTGGTGTCTGAAGCCTCGTAGGCCGTTCAACATCGAGTGATCTCCTCTATCTGATTGCGGAGATCGCTCAAAGGTCGCCCAGGTCAGGCCCAACGCCCTTCATTGTGGAACGCCCGCGCCAACATCGCCGCCGAGCCGGCGCAGGGCGAACCTACAGTCAACCCGTACAGTAAGGATGGACCGAGGAGGCAAGGATGCAAGGGCCTTGGAAGCCCACTGCGAAGCTTTTCGAGCGGGGCGTGGCCAATGAAAGTGGCCAAGGATGGACCGAGGAGGCAAGGATGCCACGATGCCCTTGGGAAGGTTGCCCATGCTTGCTATGCGGGTTGACTGTACCGCACTTGGTACCGCGTGAAGCGGGCAGCGCAGGCTAAGCGGAATCCCAATCGGGATCCCAAGTCGAATCGAATCGGAGTCGGAAGCCATCGACATCGAATCGAAGCGGAGGAACCTAAACGATCCCTGCGGGGACATCCCTCCCAGCCGCGCGCCTGTCGCCTTGCCATGGGTGTCCCAGATGGTCGAGCTGGAGCCGCAGGGCATCGTCCTGACTGATGTCCTGCGTCTCGACCGACGACATCCCAGAGGACACGAAGAAAAGCTCGGAGGCCTTCGTGAAGAGGCCCTCCGACTTGTTGGCGCAGTAGACGCACACGACCTCCCCCAGCGGGCTGTGGGGCCCCAGGGGGCCCGCCAAAAAATCGGCTGAGACGGAGTCGTGCAAGGAAGGAGCACGGAAGAATTGCGACGCCGTGACGCTCCACGCGCTCAGTCGTATTTCGCGCGCACCTCCGCACAAGGCGTCTGTTTGATGACGGGGGGGGCCCAATTGTACTCTTAGGTCGGGCCTGTCCCCCTACAGGGGGATTTTGGACGAAGAATAGAAAGTACCCCCAAAATACTGCCAAATATTCAAATCTGGTCAGAAAATCGCCCCCATAACATTCTATTTTTGAGCGTCCCCCCCTGCAGAGGGACACGCCCGGCTCAATCACACTTGCCCGCACGGCTCGCGCGAAGCGCCCCCCCCTGGGCCGGGCCGAAGGCCGTGGCCGCACGCTCGCTCGGCAAAAGAGCACGGGGCGGCGGCGGCTCGCCGCAGGCGGCTTCGGTGCTCCGCTCAAGTCTTTGAAGGAAAATAAGCAATTGCCGCGCAAATCCGGGCAATTTTTCCACACACCCCTCACGAGGATCGTGGCCTCCGAGGGGGAAGCCGCAATCGACTACCCCCCCCCCTCCCGCCCCGAGAGGCCCCCAAGAGCCCCCCAAGAGGCCCTGGGGCCCCCCAAAACGCCGCCAAGGAGCCCCAAGAGACTCCCAAGAGGTCCCCAAGAGGCCCCCAAGAGGCCCTAAAGAGGGCTCCAGGGCCGGCGGAATGAGCGAAGCGATTAAATAAGCAATTGCCGCGCAACTCCTTCGGAATTCGGCGGCTAGTTGGGGGGTCGTGGCGGCTCCCAAAGGTGGTCCCCGGTGGCATGCCCTCTGCACGCTCTCTCGGTCCCTGTGCCTCGCTCGCTGTTCCTCGAAGCGGCTCCCCGCTGTCCCTGTCGAAAACAATGCGCACCCAATCTGGTGGCGATCGCTGGACCATCCAGTCGGGGCTTTGACCCAAGGAACCCTGAATAAGGAACGAGGCTCCTTTTTTCCACAAGCTGAACTTCGATGTCCCATTGAAAACCTAAGGAGCACCTAAAAGTAAACTGTAAAACAAACAAGGAACACGAAACCCCTCCACAACAAAAAAAACATTTTCAGCGCCCCGACTGTACGTGAACACCCCGCTGCAGTTACACACTGTGTTCTCACAGAGACGGCGTGGGGAAGGTCATATGTTCAGCTGTTCGCCGGCCCGCCCTCCCAACACAAGTTCGATGTGAGTGCGGGCGCGGGCCACACTCGCCAGACTGGCAATGCGGCTCCTGCTCTCAGGAGGCAACTGCTGAGAGGCCTTCGTCGAACGCACTCGGGAGACTTGAGCCCCATTGGGGGGCTGCTGCGCCGGATGGGGCCGCGGAGGCAGCATGATCTGGGCGGGACGCAATCGGAGCAGGCCAGATTCAGAGGGACTGAGCCGCAGTAAGCCGGATTTCGGACCGGGGCGAAATCTGCGAGGCCAATTTCTATACACCGCCACCGCGCGCAACAGCCCGTTTGCCGTTGGCCGTTTGCGGCGGGAGGGGGGCAGCCCGTTTGCCGTTGCCGGCGGGAGGGGGGCTACGGGCTTTTCACCAAACCAAAACTGCAACAAATCGCATCGTAGATTATTCTCGATCTTGGTGGTGGTAGTCATATACTGGGCTCGGAAAATCAGACTTTGACCTCTCAGGAGTTGCATCCGAGCTGTTCCTGTCTGGATCGGTTCTGCTCGGGTCGGTGGGGGTGTCCCGGCTACGACGATAGGGGCGAGTAGCCCAGGGGTGGGCATTACACGTTTTCGCCCGGGAGCCTCTTCGAAGACACAAATCATCGGCGTACCTGAATGCATGTATTGCTCTCCCCGGGGCTATCCGCCCCTGTCGTCGCCTCTGAGTGTCGGCATGTGGCGAAGCCAGGCGCTTCCCGGCGCGCGCGGGCACCCGGGGCGCCTGGCGCACATCCGCCGCGCGCGGCGCAGCCCCACGCGCGTGGCGCGCTCGGCGGCTGCAGTGGCTCGCATCGGGCGGTGCTCGCTTCCTGTGCTGAAGCTCGCCAGTGATGTGATGGCACGGCGGGTGAGGATGTTGGCGCACGGCGGCTGCAGAGGCTCTCATCGGGTGGTGCTCACTTCCTGAGCTGAATCTCGCCAGTGACGTGATGGCAGGGCGGGGGGGGGGATGTTGCGGCGCTCCGGCTGGGAGTTTGCGGCTCGGCGTTGCCCTGCATGCCCCACCTACCAAGCCCGTTCTACGCCGCCGTGCTCCTACTCTGCTCACGTCCATGCCGCTCCACTCGATGCTCTATATAATTTTGCCGCTATGGCCTACTCTGATTCTGCCGCTATCTCTGCCGCTATGACTCTAATTCTGCCTGTCTAATTCTGCCTGCTCTAATTCTGCCCCTATCTAATTTGGCCTGAAGCGGCTTCTGGTGCAGTGGGGCTTCAAGAAACAGAGCGTTCAGCTAGACGACGGGGAGCTCACCATGCACGCCAGGGGCGAGCACATCCTATCAGTCTGCTACGTGGGAGGTGCGCTCAAGCTCACATGGCCCAGCGCAGAATGGGAGAATTGGGCTGACCTCCAAAACGATGCGGCTTTCATCGAGCTCCGCACGTCCTGTGAGGAAACCCTGGCCCGTGCCACTGACATGGGAAAAAGGAAAAGGAAGAAAGGGAAGAATTGACGGGACCCGGAGGACGAGGACACTGTTTCACCCAATCGTTTTTCAGCGCCGTTGGGATGCCCGCGCCCACGTGGAGCCTTGAGTGCACAAAGCGGGCACGTCACAATCGTCACGTGGAACGTCACAGGTTTAACCGACCAGAGGCTTCACACACTTTGCGAAGCAATGCATGTTTTGAAGATTGATTTTCTCTGCCTCCAGGAGACATGGGCTTCGAAAGCAGAGTACTACACAAACGACGGGTATCGTATTATTTTGTAAGGTTTGGAAAATGCAGACAGCGCAGACAGACCTAGATCAGGAATGGGATTTATCATTGTGCCCCGCATGGCAACATTCATCTGTGGCTTCTTGCAATAATCAGACTGGCTCGCTTGCTTGAAGATCCGGGGAAGCGGGGGGAAGCATGCGCTGATCACCGGCTACGCCCCGCACAACCTCCGACCACTATCTGAACGATTGAACTTTTATTTGGAATTGGAAAAACTGCTCAATACCATATCGGTGAATGGATTCAAATATATCGCTGGAGACTTCAACGCCCGGCTCGGCCAACAACGGCGAGGCGAAGGACCTGCCCTTGGGCCGTACACTTTTGGAGAAGAAGCGAAACACAAAGTAGAATCACCAACCGGGATCTACTGATGGAGTTCTGCACGGTGCAGCAGTACAGCATCAGCAACACATTTCAGAATGTGCCCGACGGACAACGGATTACGTACATGGAGAGAGGCACAAAACCCAACGACGCCATCCTGCCAGACATATTTGCTCTGCTCGATTTGTTTCTCGTGCCGGGCGTAAGTTTTGACCGAGTGGTGTCCGTTGAAAGCCACCGAGAAGTAGCATTGGCCACGCGGCACTTCCTAGTATGTTGTCAGATCGACTCTCAACCACGTCGACACCACAGTCGAAAACAGAGAGGGAGTTTGCAAAAACCTGGTATACGATAGCAATTTGTTACGGCGTTTTTGGAGAATTGCTCGGAGGATGTGGGCGCCGCTGACGTGGTCGAAGGCGCCTGGCAAGACATCTCGGCCGCGATCGGGGCTGCATCCGAGGTCTTGCCTGACGAGCCGCCCCAACCCAAACGACTGTGGATCAGTGGCCGGACAGTGCAGCTCATCCAAGAAAGAGCGCAGGCTCGAGTGGACGGGAACGCCGTTATGGAGAAAAAGAAACACAAAACTGCATGAAAATCTGCACAAGAAGATAAATCCAAATGGCTGGAAAATTTGGTGGCGACTGGTTCCTGGAACGATATCCGGAAGTTCCGAAAACCCCGTCCCGCCAAGCAGGGGCGGCTCTGGAACTTGCAAGGTGAATTAGTCAGCAGCGAAGATCGAGCAAATACCATGGCAACATACCTCGAGACGGTGCAATGGGGCGTGCGTCCAGCCGACGCTGTCGACGCACCCGCCCTTGGACCTGCGTTGCCTGTCAACTTGGCCAATTTCACGGATGACGAGGTCAGAATATGTTTGCGCAAGCTGCGCGATGGCCAAGCACCCGGGCCAGACGGCATCCCACCAGAATATTGGAAGGCACTTGCAGACGACTCCAAGGCATTACAACGCATCACGACTTTCGTGTGTTGGCAAGGGCGAAGGGTTCCGCAGGGATGGCTCAAAGCCAGGGTAACAGCAATACACAGGAAAGGAAAAAAATATGATTGCGCGAACAAAGTACTCGCGTCTTTGTTGCACCGACGTTTGGTGGAGGCAGGAGCTGAATCCAGGCTGACGGGATCGCAATTTGGCTTTCCATCGAAGCATGGGACACAAGAGGCGGTTTTTGCGCTCCGTCGGCGTATCGATTTGGACCTTGGTACATCATCAGGTAATATGTATGCATTGGCCTTGGACGAGCAAAAAAGCTTTCGATTCCATCAGCCCTTCGACCATGCTACGCGGTCTGCGACGTTTCGGCTTGCCCGAGCACAAATGGGAGGTCATAAGTGCGGTTTACAGCGACAGAATCGTCGAGGTGCGGGACTGCTGGGCGACTTCTTCCTCGAGGCCGCCGCAGTCGTCCGGGATATCGCAAGGATGCCCTCCATCACCCTTCTTGTTCGTGATGACCATGGCAGTAATCATCGAAGACGCTGTCTCCCAACTTGCAGCAGAACGCAGAGCACTCTGGGACAGTGGATTCCTTTCCGCTTTGCTGTACGCGGACGACACGCTGATTCTGGGAAGGACGAAGCGGGCAGTGGAAGACATATTAGCTGCGATTCAGATGTCTGGGAAATCCTATGGCATGGAGCTGCACCCAGACAAGTTCCATCTGCTTCAAATCAGATGCGCAAACAGTATTCAGGATTCGAATGGACACATCATACGGGTGCAAGAAGACATGATGTATCTGGGTGCTTTGATTTCTGGAACAGGCGCCGCGGGCAAGGAGCTCAGTCGCCGCCTGGGCGCGGCGCGCGCCGACTTTGACAAGGTGTCCAAGATATGGCGGCATTCAGGCTTGAGCAGGCGCAGAACAATTGAGGTCTACAGCGCCGTCGTTCTTAGCAAGCTCACGCATGGTTGATCGACTTTGTGGCTGAATGCTGCGGAGAGAAGGCCGCTGGATGGCTTCCATTGCTGGTGTCTTCGCGTAACATGGGGAATCGAACGAGCGGACATCTCCAGGGTGAGCAACATGATAATCTTAGACAAAACGGGACAACATCCTCTGACGGACACAGTGGCACGACAGCAGCTTCTCCTGCTTGACAAAATCGCCAGGACATCAGAAGGGAGCCTCCTCAGGAACGCCACCTTCTGTCCCGGAAATTTCAGGCCGGCAACAGACCGATACGTGAGAAAGGTAGGCCGGCCACGCGCAGACTGGACAACCCAGGTGCTACGAGTCGCTTGCTCGGCGGCAGGCGGCATGTCAAAGTTAAGCCCACTCTTGGCTAATGAAGTTTCCTGGCGGCAATTCGTACGCTCAGCAAAGCTGACCGTATAGCGCCGCACGGTCCGAATTTGAGGTTTTAATCAGCAACATTTTTCCAGTCCAGTGTCCTACGCACCTCGGGGCGTATGACTTCTCACCTATGACCTACTCTACTCAATTCACTTTGTTCTTACTCTGAACCTACTCAATGCTCCTTTACCCTGTTCTTAATCTGAACCTACTGTGAAATAGTAGCACAGAGGTATGATGGTCCCTACTATTTTCCTGTCGTCACCTTTTCGTACACGACGCACACTGCCGCGAAACATGCGCAACATTCACGACATGCGGACCGCTCACGTCGCGCGACCCCTCCGGACGTCGTTCTCCCCCATGCCCACGGGGGACAAGCGAAAAGACGCAAAGAAACACAGATGGATCCCCATCGGCCCGCGACCGGATCGCTGTGCTCGCCGTTCAGGCGCACGGTGGTCAACAACGGCCCAGGAGACAGCAGGGCCTCCGCCGGCAGCGGCGGGGCCACCGGCGGCCAGGAAGCCGCCAGCGGCGGCGGGGCCGCGGTCGGCGGCGGCGGCGCGGGCACCGCCGCGGGCTGCTGACGGGCCTGGGGGAACCCTTTGGCTCAGCAGCCGTTCGGCAAGCCGGCGCGTTCGGCAAGCCGGCGGGCCGCGCCGGAGCCAGGGCACACAGCGCTGCGAGGGAAGGAAAGCGGGCGGCCGCGGAGGAGGCGCGCGGGAAGAGGCCTCGGGCGTAGGAGCGGAGAAGAGTCGCCACGAGGAGTGCGCAGGGGCCCTTTGGCACCGGGAGCTGGTGCACCGGAAGGTGTGCGGGGCAGCGCGGGAGGCCGTGGGGGCAGCAGCAAGGGGCCGATGCACCCCTGCTCACCAGACTCCGCTCCCAGGGCGCGCAGTCTGGCCAGGACTCGTCGGGCGCATCCAACCCTGGGGCGACGAGGGGCCCGCGCGCAGCGGTATCGGTGCCGCCCCAAAGCTCGGGCGCCTCGAGTGTTTCTGCAAGGCGGATCTCGAAAAGGTCTGGGCCACTTCTTTAGGACCCGTACTTCATATAATTTTCTTGTTGGCGGTTCTGGGGCCCGGTGAGTGCCCCCGTCGGGCCGACCGGCCGAAACAAAAAATCCGGTCGTGATTTTTCCCGACGAATGGACCCTGAGATCCGATGTTGCGGAAAAACTAAAAACTAAAAAGCATGGCGAAATTCACAACCGAACCGCCGACCATATCTTTCTGCTGCATTTTCCGACACGCATCGATCCGTGATGCCCCTGAGGCCCGAATCTGGGCGCATGCGCCGGGAGCAACATAATTGCGACGCAACGATCTCAGGGCGACGCGATTTCTTCACGGCGACAGGAGGTGGGGGTGCTGCGCCTCCTTGCTATCGCTCGGGCGTCCATTCCCCGTGCATGTTTCGGTTTCGTGCGTGTTTTTGCTGGCGCGATGGTCGAGGAGGCTCCTCGATGGCCCTCGCGGAGGAAATGTGCACACGACCGAGCGATGCCAAGCCCCAGGGCGGACGGCGGAGGCGCGTTGTGAAGCTGGTGGTGTGGTTTCCACGCTTTCGACACCATACCCGCATCATCTTGGCCCGAAAGGCGCTGGAGGCCGGTCTGGTGCCCCAGAGACCGGCATGTCGCCTGTGGAAATAAAAACGCCCCTTGAGACCATGGCGAGCCCCCACGCTTTGGGGGGGCCCTCGTGTCGTGACCTGTGCACGACGCGAGGAGTCCTGGCTTTCGGGTCGTGTTTCGGGCGCTCGGCGGCAATTCGGGACGATTGCGTCACCCCCAGAACGCCCTCGGCGAGGCGCAGCTGCTGGAAAGCAGCCCGAAGACAGACAACCACTGAAAACAAAAGAAAACGCCCGCCAACCAGAAGGAAACTTCCGTCGTTTCTGTTTTCGCGACGATGAGAACCCATTTGCAAATTCTACTTCCGAGACCAAGGTGCCCAGCAAGAGTATATCTCTTCGGCGTGGAACTTGAATGCAGCCCTGAAGCTCTGCAAGACCCGGAAACACCGCGGCGGGGGACACGCCCGGGACTTCCACGAGGAGGGGCGGCAAGCAACTCCGACCCAGGCCGAAAGACACGGATACAAAAGAACGCCTGCTCGCTGAGACTGGGGGCGGAATAACCCATGCTTCTGGCTTTCAAAAACAGGCCGAAGTCACTCATCTCGCACGTGGTGTCCTGAATCATCATCCGCAGGCTCTCAATTTACGAGGCCAGCAGCACCTAATTTGTCGGCTAACGCGAAGCCCGAATATCTAGCATCATCGATAAGCTCCACCCCATCCACCCCCAGACTCATTCCCGAACGCTCGAATGTTGGAGACGATTCGCTCACTGACGTAATTATATTTGCCAGCGGCGTCCGAGGCGCTGGCATTTTCCTCGCATTTAGCGCCGGGATTCGGCGGTGGGCTCTGGCCCCCCTGGACACAAGGACCAACCCTAGATCTGTGCCCGCCAAGAGCAGAGCAGAGCAGCTGCCATGACCCCGTGCACGCTACGAAGCAGCATGGCTCGAGAGCAGGCGCTGGGACTGAGGCCGTGGAAGTCATGCACCACGTCCCCGGAGCATGCCAATAGCGGCAACTTGTCTGGCCATTCCTGCAAGCGGGGCCCGTCAGCAGGGCGCAGTTGCGGCAGTCTGGAAACCGCGATTCGCAAGGTGCTCAGCTTCTTTCATCCCCTCGTCATCCCCTGCCAAAGCCATCAGAGCGTGGATGCGCCGTTTCTTGAAAACCCTTGTCACTGAAGACCCGCGATGCAAAAAAACAGCCGTTAAGCTCCACATTCTTGTTGAATGATGATGGTGATCCAAGAAACCGCGGCCTGCTCCTCCTCCTCCTCCGCCTCCTCTTCCCGATGTGCCTTGCATAGCTAGTGGCAGACCTCGACGCTCGTGGCCGAGAGCTCGAGCGCCATCTCCGAGCAGATCTGCTCATTGCCCGCTGCGCTGTCAATCTTCACCCGCGAGCGGGCGAAGCACAGATGGCGGGCAGTGCGAACTGGGCGCGGACGACCAACGCGCCCCTCCCCAAGCTCACTTTCACGGTGTGGGTCCAGCTGATGAAGAACATGTCCTCCTGTCGCTGATGGGCCCTGGTACTGTTGGCGGCAGAAGTTGCCGCGCGATCATATCGAGCATCTTGTGCCTGGTGCGCGAACAATTTTCGCCTCCTTAGTTCTGTGACTGGGAAACTCGATTCGCATCTTTTGTCTGCGCCGCACTCGCTGGGCTCGCGGCGGGCAACTTTGCACTCCGCGATGTTGGCAGGCGCTGTCAAGTCGCACCCTAACTTCACGACCTCTGGCGGCTTGGTTCGCAGAGCGGAACGTCTCGAATATCTGCGAGCGCAGGGCGCAGACGTGGCGCCGGCAGGCGTGATCCCGCCAGATTTCTCGATGCGCTCACTGAGCAGCTGCGGCAAGTTCTGGCAACCAATCGACTTCCACTCTGGCCCCCTCCGATGCCGAGCCGCGGCCAAGTCTCCGCCGGGTCGCCGGCCCGCGAGGCGCATGCATGGGTCATGGGCGCAATGCGTGCAGCGTCTGGCACGCTGAAAGAAATGCCGAGGCGGCATGGCGACGGAAATGACTCATGAGGTCGAAGGCCGGGCACTGACGCCCCAGGGGGCCCCCATTCCCCCAGCCATACTCCGAAGAACCTGTGGGTCCCTCGGCCTCTGGAAGCGAAATGCTGCAGTCCTCCATGATGACGTGCGCTGGTAGTGCTTGAGCTGATGTTTTAGCCGCGATGGCCCGATGGTCGCCGATGATGCATCGGATGCACGTCTTGAATTCCGCTACGTCGTAGCCCCAGGAGCCTGGGAACTAACAGGCTTGAGCGCAGAGGTGTTGGCAGACCACCCCCACCCCTTGCGAAATGCTATCATGCCGAGACTGTACACCTGAAACAAAGCGCGCTGGCCTAAGGAATGAGATGCAGGACCCTTCCGAGCGACGAAACTACCGGCCCCCGATGCGCATGGCATCATCGAAACAAACTTTCCATATATATATATATATATATATATATACAAAAACATCTTGACACACCAAAATCACACGGGAACCGTGGAATGATGTCACCTGAAATTAATTTCAGGGAGCGCGCATCGGGGCAACGTTGACACTCCAAGACACAAGTGCGAGACCCGCCATGCGACTTGAACCGTTAAACCGGGTGATCCCCCTACTCATTCACGCGCCCGCGACAGCACTGTTGGATGCAACCTCGTCCATCGCGCAGCCCCAGTCCGCGCAGCTGCTCGCGACCAAAAACCAGCCCGCAGCGACGCTGAAGATGGACAGTTCAACGGGGCGACGAATTCCTTCGGCACGACGAGCGACGATATGTCGGACGCCGCCGACCTCAGGGGGCTCCACGGCGCTGTAGAAGTTGGCGGCCGGCGCGTCAGTTTCTGAGAGCGTGGACTCGAGCTCGCTCGAGCCTCGCTCTGCAAGGGCAAGGGGGGGGGGGGGGGGCATTCCCGACGCATTTAGCGCTCGGGGGCGGGGGGGCCCACAGGCCCCCAGGACCCCCCCAGGAGGCCCAAAACAATTCCCAAGAGGCTTCCCCAGGTCCGTCGCTCAATCCCCTGAGCCTCAGTCCTCAAGCCTGAGAACTCATAATGAGCCTGGGCCCCAAGCTCTCAAAACTCGAGGTTCCCCCGGCGCCCCCTGGGGCCCCCAGAGCGTTCTCGCATGACTTATCCGAGCCCAGAAGACTTCAAGAGAGGCCCAAAACGGGCCAACAGGGCCCCCAGAGGCCTTCAAAACGGCCCAAGAAAGCCCCGAATCACCGAAGTGGCGATGACCGCGGTAACCATCAGCACCATCACGATCATCACAATCAGCATCATCATCATCATCACCATTATCCGGAACGCCCTGGATCGGCGGAAGCAATCGGGACTTTGAACGCTTTCTGCTAAGTCCAAGCACCCCCTCGATCTTCGGCCCGTACAAATATGGCGAAAGCTCTGTGCGCAGATTTCTCGTCGAGGGTGATGCACGTCATTTCCTTATCCACGTTGTGGTGAAACCGCTGCGATATATTCGAAAGGATTAGCAGGGCGGTGCTCTTCGCGCCTGCCGCCGCCATGGGGGCGGGGCCACGGCCCCCCCAATGCTCTACGAAGCCCTCGATGTCGACGCCTCCAGGGGCGCGACGACTGCTGCCGCCCCCACCGCGCGAGGAAGAACCGCCACCACCTCCACCGTGCACGCCGCCTGCTGTAGATGCTCCAAACATAGAGGCGTCGTCCTCGAACTTATTCATTCGAGCGCCGAACTCGGTCATCATCTCGCGGCGCGCGTCCCGGGCAGCCTGGCCAGCGCCAGGGCCTCGTCGCCCATCTTTTCCGACGCCCGCGAGGCTGCGCGTCCGATGGGCGCCTCGAGCTGGGAGGCTTCCGTCGCCCAGCGCTGACTGATCTGTTCTGAATGGCAACCTTCGCGCTGCTCCTCTTCACTGAGAAAAGGCTCCCCCCCCCCCCCCTCCCGGCACCCAAGATGAGAAAGTAAGGTCGGGCATGTCCCCCAACAAAAGGATTTTGCGCGAA